ATGCGGAAGTTGGCCAACAGTTTGCTTCAGGCACAAAGCGAAACGTATGGCGAAGTAGTTTTTTCCCAAATAGGTAAATAGTGTATATTTAGTAAATATTATAAATGTATTTATTTGATCCTATTATTTCACAGAACTTCCAGAGGAAGTCTCTAGAAGCTTGCAACCTGAGGAAGCTATTGCGGGGACTTCTTCTACACTAAGTATTTTTGCAGTATGGTTTAGTTATTTGTACAACGATTTTGGATTGTGCTGTGCCTAAACGCGTGACCCGAAACAAAAAAACTTTTACACATACTTGTAGACAAGAGTCTACGCTTTATTAAAAACAAAAAGTGAATATACATATCTGTGCAATAATTTTTTAATAATCGCGGTACTTTTTGCAAAATTCCGAGCTGAGCTGTCAAACACAAAAAAATATGTACGAAATATCTCTGTAAAGGTGTTCAGCCCTCTTCTTCGGCAACACAGGAAGGAGAATTCTACATTCTACTTAATAAGCGTTATAATCCTTTAGCAAAAATTCAAGGTTCCTCTATTTACAAACAGCGCCCAAGGGGTCTGTGTGGGAGTACAGGGGGCAGTGGTGACTTTTCATAAAACATGGACCATCCTCTTTTGTTTAAGAGGGGGTTTGGAGGGCCATGCCACCTCCCCCTCCGCCCCACCTAAAAACCGATGTACAAATAACTAAACATTTCCCATTCTTGCAGTACACATATGTACATACGCACTTAATATTAATGCGGATTAACTTTTTTAGATGAAGATGAAGATTACGTTCCCATTGTGCCAGGTGAAAAACAGGCCTGGCTAGAAGCTCCCACAAAGCTAATGCTGTCCCTTTTGGAAGAACTTCGGCCTAAAGTGGGTAAATCACCCGCACTCCGAAATAAGGCCAAAATGTGGAAAATCATTGAAGAGAGGATGGGGGAGCAAGGCTATAGTTTCAATTGCTTTCAAATTGAAAACAAATTTAGGACTCTGGAGCGGCAATATAAAAAAACCATACTTAACAACAGGCAGAGCGGTAGAAGTAGACTTACGTGTCCTTACCAAAGGTTAGTATAACTACGTTTATGCGTTTGTCGTTTAACAAAATTCTTTTACTTTTACTTTTTACTTATTACTTTTTATTTATTCTTAATTTATTGATTTATTATTTATTCTTAGTTAATTTATTTATTCTTAATATTCCACAGTGAGCTGGATGCCATTCTAGGCGACAAACGATCTTTGAATCCTGAGTTCCTGTGGGAGAGCAACGATGCACCAGAGAACACTAGCGCAAGTTTAGATGGAGCTTCAGACTTAGAACAGTCCGCTGCAGGTACATCGTATAAGATATACTTACATATGGTATACTATATATAAGGGCTCTTCATGATCATGATATTCGGTGCATTTGTAAATTTTCAACGATAAAATGCAATGGTGGCATGTTATTACGCACAAAACTTGCGAATGCAAATGCAAGACTATTTCCACAATATCCTCAGCAAATCCATGAAAACCAAAATTCGAAACTTTGTATAAAAACTAGGAAAATTCTATAAAATTTCCAGTATAAGATGCAAGTTTGAAGTAGCTACAAATTATGGTTGATTTTTTACAATTCATTTTGTGAACGGTGTGGCCCACTTCTCACAAAAAATTTTTATAAAAACTAATTAAAAAATGTAAAGTTTCGAATTTTGACTTTTATGGTTTTTGTTAAACTATAAGCCAACTTTTTATAAAAAAATTACATAAGTTACTGGCAGTAACTGAAAATTTGATACTAATTACATTTTCAATAAATTTCTTTTCATGCAGATGATATTCCGAGCTGCTCCACAGCGAAAAAAAGAAAAACTGCTACTGACCGGATGGAAACCAAAATTTCTGATATGGTGGAGGAGAGGAAGGCATACCACAAAGAAGTGTTGGAGTTTTTAAAGAAAAAGGAGGAAAGGGAGAAGAGAAAGGAAAACAGAGAGCAAAGAAAGCTCGAAATTTTAGAAGCAATTGCAAAAAAGCATAGCTGATTTGTCTTAGGCTTAGGGCCGGTTACTCAATGTCTGGTTAACACTAATCTCCGGTTAAACATAGTTATCGACGTTACCGACTCCCTGTTATATGCATGGAGTCGAAGACGTCGATAACGATGTTTAACCGCAGATTAGTGTTAACCAGACATTGAGTAACCGGCCCTTAATATTAATTTTTTATAAATTTTAAGGTCATCATATGCAAACATATATAAATCCACATTTTAAAGGCAGTAGTAATATTAGAAAAATTATAAAGTTTCGCACTAAAATATCGAACTTTTTATTCACAAGTTGGATATTTAATAACTTTTACCAAAAAAATTTTATATACATAATCATAAGTTCGATATTTTAGTGAAAATTTGCGAAACTTTATAATTTTTAACCGACTTCCAAAAAATGAGGAGGTTATCAGTTCGTCGGAATATTTTTGTTTTATGTATGTTACCGCATAACTTTGGACCACGTCAACCGATATCGATAATTCTTTTTGCATCGGAAAGGTAGTTTCTCAGAGGTGGTCCCATACTAATCTGGTTGAGATCCGATCAGTGGATCATGAGATATATATATAAAATATATTTTTTTTATATGAGAGTTGAAGTCTGTTTTTTTTTTTGCTAAAAATTACTTGTTCTAATTTATTACTGCGTTTGAAATGTGGATTTATATAGTGCAAACTTGCCAAAATGTTGCACACCTATTTATTTTTCTATGGGTGATATTTACTTACATTGTCTTTCCTTA